TGCCAGGAACCTCCAGGTGGCCTTTTGCAGCCAGTGGCTCTTGGTCCCAGTGAAATGTGCTCCCTGCCATGTGCCAGCCTGCATGGGGTGCCTGCACATTTTAGTTCTTCCCACCAGTGCCGCAGACTCAGGCCAGCTGGTAAGGCACAACACTGCACTGCATAAAACCGCCTTGTGGAGTGGTGAGGAAAAGCTGCCTCTAACCTTCCTGTGCTCAAGTCCGAGTCCTTTAGTGCACAGGCCTTCTGTCCCAGGACAAGAAGAATCGCCCTCGTGCCCCCTGCCTTTCCCCTTCCCCTTCCCCTTCCCCTTCCCTTTCCACCAGTGAGGTTCAGTGCAAAAAGAAAGGAGAGTGAAGTACAGTCTTGTTATACAGCGCCTAAGCCTTATCCTCATACCTGTCTGTCCCTTCCCTGAATCCATCACCTCCTGCGGGGCGATGAGGGAGAACACATGTGCCCTCCTGGAGCTGACACAGATGGGGAGAGAATACACCTGGTGTGGGAAGCTGTATGGGACCCAGATAATTCTAGCTAGTCCCTTCGGCTCACAGTGGAGTATACTAATCAGTAGGAGAAAATGCAAAGGGAAACTACTTCGGAATCAGTAATTGCTGTGTTCCCAGGAAATCCTCCTTAAGTATGGAGGGGAAGGAATGCTTTAGAGGAAACTAAGGGCTGTAGCCCATACACTCATGTCATAGATGAGGTGCCCAAGACAAAGAGAGTAGGGAATACAGGTCCAAGAATGTCTGCAGGATGACTCTGCCCTCACTAAGCTATGCCGTTTTTCCTCACATCTATGTTGAGGTTTTTCCCTCTGTTTTATTATGAAGAATGTCAAACACACAGCAAAGTTTTTATGTTTTTTGAGACAGGCTCATTCTGTCACCCAGGCGGGAGTGCAGTGGCACAATCTTGGCTCACTGCAACCTCTGCCTCCCATGTTCAAATGATTCTCCTGCCTCAGCCTCCCAAGTAGCTGGGACTACAGGTGCGCGCCACCATGCCTGCCTAATTTTTGTTTTTTTGGTAGAGACAGGCTTTCACCATGTTTGCCGCACTGGTCTCAAACTCCTGACTTCAGGTGATCCATCTGCCTCAGCGTCCCAGAATGCTGTGATTACAGGCGTGAACCACTGCACCCGGTGTACAGCAAAGTTGAAAGTGTGTAAAGAACACCCCTATTGCTGGGGCACGATGGCTCACACCTGTAATCCCAGCACTTTGGGAGGCCAAGGTAGGTGGGTCATGAGGTCAAGAGATCAAGACCATCCTGGCCAACATGGTGAAACCCCGTCTGTACTAAAAATACAAAAATTACCCGGGCATGGTGGCGCACACCTGTAGTCCCAGCTACTCAGGTGGTTGAGGCAGGAGAAATGCTTGAACCCGGGAGGCAGAGCTTGCAGTGAGCTGAGATCCGGCCACTGCACTCCAGCCTGGGCGACAGAGCGAGACTCCGTCTCAAAAAAAACGAGAACACCCCTGTTACACAACACAGGCACCACCTGGAGTCTGCAGTGTACTAGACCCGTTTATCCATCCACCAACCCATCTTATCCTTCTGATGCATTTCATAGTAAAATGCAAACACCAGTATGCTTCCCTGTCGGGGTTTTTAACTAAAGTAGTGCACATTCGAGGCCGGGCGCAGTGGCTCACACCTGTAATCCCAGCACTTTGGGAGGCCGAGGCGGGTGGATCACGAGGTCAGGAGATTGAGACCATCCTGGCTAACACGGTGAAACCCCGTCTCTACCAAAAATACAAATAATTAGCCGGGCGTGGTGGCAGGCGCCTGTAATACCAGCTACTTGGGAGGCTGAGGCAGGAGAATGGCGTGAACCCGGGAGGCAGAGCTTGCAGTGAGCCGAGATCGTACCACTGCATTCCAGCCTGGGTGACAGAGCAAGACTCCGTCTCAAAAACAAAAAAAAAAGAAAAAAGAAAAAAATAAGGTAGTGCACATTCGAACACTACAGAAGTACATAAAAGGATTTTTCTCCAGGTCCTCCTTTCCTCTACCACTATGAAAGTGTGTGCATCCTTCCAGACTTTGATCTGTGCCTACACACGCATTTGAATATGTATGGTAGCTAGTGCTTTCAAGCAGGGGGATCACGCCCATGTGTTCATCCACTACTTGCCGTGTTTGGAGTCTGAGAGGACAGACACTCCAGCAGCAGACTCTGTGCCATCTCCCTTCTCAGTTTGTGTCGCCCTTTCAGGCGGGCCCTCAGGCTAGCCAGATGTTCCAGACAGAAAATGACCACAAGTTGTCCTGGTGGCCAGGAAGTGAGTGACTTCTCTTGCAGCTCATGTGCCTGGGGACTTAAAGATCGAATCGGTTCCATTTTATGCTTTTTCCTTGGGGTTCCTGGTAGGGGGCTTTGAGGAGTGGAAGCCATAGCCTTCTGGGCCTTGAAGAATCTTCATTTTATGGGCCCCAGGTGTTTGCCTTTCCACCGAAATAATAAGAGAACACAAAGAAACAGCAATGAGAAGGCCTCTCAAGCAGAGGGTCCCAGTCCCAGCCCCACCCTCCGCGAACCCTCTCATGAGGTGTGTGACTTCCTTGGGCTTCCGGATCCTCATTCGCAAAATGAGAATAACACCGGGTGACCTGCCCAGCTTGGAATATGGTGAGGCTCAAAGGAAAACACGCACATGTGTTTGTCATTGGCAGTGTTCGGGACAGTTAAGCTCCTTTAGTGATGGAGAAGGGATCCTGCCACAAGCTCTGCCTTCTTCACAGCCGAGACACTGCTCTCCTGATATTTCCCCTGTGGCGTGGAGAACTTCTGGGTCGCCTTTTGTTCACGCCGCCTCTTTCACCTGCCCTTCAAATTCTCATGTCAGCCTGGGTTTGTCTTCTGCCTTCTTTGGATTTTGGTCTGAACTTTCTCCCCGGACTGCCTCTTTATCCCACATCCATGCCTGGCACCCATGTCTCTGTTCCAAACCTCAGCTCTAGGCTTCAGCAGCCTCCTGGAGGTCTCCATCAGCTGGCCAGGCCTCCTCCCACCCAACTCAGAATCCGTCCCTTCCTTCTCATGCTTTCCTTCTGGACACCCTCCCTTAGTGCAGGCACCTGCTGTTTGCCCCGCTGCCCCCATCGGCACACGCAGGGCTGCTGCGCACTCCTTGTTGTCAGCCCCAGTCACCACAACAGAACACAAGGCTGTTCCCTGTCCCCAGAATCTCCCGTCACCACCCCAGCCTCATCCATCCTCAACCTTCTCCAAAGCCTTCCTGGAACAGCCTGATGAGGTCTCTTTCTCCATACCCTCGCCCCTGGGCCTGCGCGTCAGAAGATGTCCTGGAAGTCCTCATGCTGTGCCTTTTGGTCTCCTTGTTCGGCATCCCTACTAGTCTGTGAGATGCTTGAATCCCAAGATCACGACTATTCACTGTCGCCAGCACGCAGAATGTCATAGGACTTAATAAAAACCACTGGGTTCCCACAGGTGCAAGTAGCTTCCTTCCATTTCTTCTTTTTGGGATGGTGAGCAGGGTCATTTTTGTTTCTTTCTTTTTAAACATTGAGATGAAATTCACCATAAAATTAACCATTTTTATATGTGCAATTTAATAGCATTTAGGACATTCACAACCCCCATCTTTATCTGGTTCCAAACACTTCATTGCCCCTCAAGAAAACCTCTGATGTGATTCCACTTATATGAGGTAGCTAAAATAGTCAAACTCACAGAAGCAGAGAGGAGAAAACTAGTGGCGGCCAGGGGCTGGGCGGGGGGGAGGGGAGTGGTGGATTAATGGGTGTAACATTTTAGTTATGCAAGATGAGTAAGTTCTAGACATCCCCCGTACAACATAGTGCCTACAGTTGACAATACTGTATTGTATACTTGAAGATTCATTAAGAGGATACAGCATATGTTAGTCTTACCACAAAAAAGTTTTTAAAAGGGGAAAAACGGGTCGGGCGTGGTGGCTCATGCCTTAATCCCAGCACTTTGAGAGGCCAAGGTGGGCAGATCACAAGGTCAGAAGTTCAAGACCAGCCCGGCCAACATGGTGAAAGCCATCTCTACTAAAAATACAAAAATGAGCCAGACGTAGTGGTGGGCGCCTGTAATCCCAGCTACTTGGGAGGCTGAGACAGGACAATCACTTGAACCCAGGAGGCAGGGGTTGCAGTGGGCCGAGATAGTGCCACTACACTGCAGCCTGGGCGACAAAGTGAGACTCCACCTCAAATAAAAGGGTGGGGGAAGGAAAACCCCTTCCCCATTAAGTAGTCACTCCCCGTTTCCCCCGTCCCCAATCCCAATCTCCTTTCTCTCTATGAATGTATCTATTCTGGACGTTTCATATGAGTGGGTTCATACAATAGGTGGTTTCTTTTATGTAATATTTTTGACGTTTATCCATGTTGTAGCATGTGGCAGTTCTTCCTTTTCCTGACTGAATAGTATTCCATCGTCTGGATACATCATCTCTGTGTATCCGTTGCACAGCTGGTAGACACTGGGTTGTTTCCACCTTTGGGCTGTTGTGAACAACGCTGCTGTGAACCTCCATGCACAAGGATTTTCTTGGGGACCAGTTTCTTCCTCTCATTCTTGCCTCCTACCACTCCCCGCATTACCATATTTTTCCAAACCAGACATCAGCGCACCAGCTGCGTGTGTGTTTAGGGAAAGCATCTGTGGAGGGAAACAGCTTGCCTCATGTTGCCCCTGCTTCGTGTCTACCCTTCTCCAAGCCTTTTTTGTCCACTGTCACCTAGGCTTTTGGTTAATTGCGTGTTGGGATTAATCCCATTTTGTCTTTGGGTAATTAACATGTAGTGTCCACGCATTATCTATCTCCATGGTGAGAGTCAAGGTCCCTCTTGGGTTTCTGTGTCCCCTGCAGAGCCGAGCACAGCTTGGGGCAGCTTAGCAGTTCCCTAGTTCCTAGGCTCTCGCCTGCCCCGTGCCACCTGTCCACTGGTGACTAACCCTCTTGCACTCTCCCCTGTCCCCCTTGCAGATGATGTGCTGACTAAAGATGCGGGTGAGTGTGTGATCTGCCTGGAGGAGCTGCTGCAGGGGGACACGATAGCCAGGCTGCCCTGCCTGTGCATCTATCACAAAAGGTAGGAGGGGTTGGCAGGGTAGCTCAGTGCACCCCACCTCCCAGAGGGGCAGACCCCCATCTCCAGCCATTCTGTTTCCTTTGGTTATGGGATGATCTCTCCCCCAACCTCTGGCTCCGAGTGGGTAAGGGCAGAGGCTGTCAGACAGGTGTCCATTGTGCCGGCGGGAAGGTGTGAGCATCCCAAGCGCAGGGCAGAGCTGAGTTGCCAGAGGTGTGCTCTGGTTTGAGGACTCAGGTGGTGGGAGCTGATGGGGAGGCCTGTAGAGCCTCACAGGTTGGAGGAGCTTAGGATCCCACCGGGAAGGTTGGTTCTCCGTCTGTCTCCCTGCCTCTTCTTCTACGGGCCCTCTGCTCCGCGGGGGGAGAACATCAATCTGTGCGAGGAAGGCCAGGTGGAGGGTGTGCCCACTGCCTTGCACTGGCCTTCTCCCTAGAGGGCCAGGAGGCAGGAAGAGCCATTTCCTGTGGGGCCACAGCACTAGGAGCAGTTGTAAGTAGCAGGCCCAGATTCACCTTCAGGCTCCAGTGTGAGCCTGGTCCTTGTTTCCAGCCAGAAGGAAGGCATCCTCTTGCCCAAGAGAGGAGGACACTGTGCTGCCTGTGGCCAGCACCTGCTGAATCCTTGAGCCCAGAGCTTCTTCCTGACACTGAGGTCTTTCAAAGCCTGACTCTCGGGGCCACTGCTGCACAGGATGACAGCCAGGCACGACACGCGGCATGGCTGGTGCAGAGGAGGCTCAAGGCTGGCCTGGGAGAGATTCTTGGTCTAGCTCCCAGCACGGAGCCTTGCTTGTGTCCCAGGGAGGCACTAACCAGAACCGGAAAAGGAAATCTTTGACTCTTAGGGAGAATTATGCAAATTATCTGTCTGGTTCCTGTCTTTGAAAATGCCCAGATGTTGGTTTACAAATCAGGAAGCTGTCTTGGGGCAATCTCTGTTCCCTCTTTGATGCAGAGGGCCTTTCTCTGTCAACACTGGAGACCAGGGCTGACTGTCTCTGGTCTGACTCCCCTCCTGCCTCTTGCAGTAAGGACTAGATGCTGCTATCAGCTGATCACGGCTGAGCAGGGTAGAGCTTGGGGCTCTCCTAAGAGGTCACCCACTGGGAGGGAGCCTCACAGCTGTTCTTTTGACCCAGAAAGGAGCTCTTTCAGGACCCTGGCACCCAGAGCCATGGCCCTTCTGCCGTGCCATTGTTCCCACTTCCCTGCCCTTGCAGTCTTAGAGACAGCTGACTAGCTGTCCTGCGGGGTCCACCGCTCTCACCTCACTGGTGGCTGCTGCCATCCTCCTGGGCCCTGTGCACAGAAAGCTTTGGTCCTTCTCAAGGCCACTCTCCCCCTTCCTACAGCACCAGATCCCCCTGAGCCAGTACCCACCACCGCTGCCTCTGGCTGGGCCAAGACTAATCTTGGTGTTCTCCCTTCTTCCTGCTTCAGAAAGTAGCCATATCTGGGGACATGATTGTGTTTCTCTGGGGTCCTTTCAGAAGAGACTTAGGAAGCTCCTGCTCAGGAATCTGGCCCTTTGAAAGAGCCCCTTCAAAGCAGCCTGGGCAGCAGGTAATGTGGTTTCCCTTGCGGCCCCCTCCCCCCAGCTGCATAGACTCGTGGTTTGAAGTGAACAGATCTTGTCCGGAACACCCTGCGGACTGACCTGCGGGCTTGCTTGCTGACTCCTCTCAAAGGTGAGCCCGCGTTTGGGGGTGCTCCGGGCTCAAGGCTTGGGGTCAGGTCACTTTGGGGGCATGCAGTTTAGGGAGCAGGGCTGCCCTTATGCCACTGAGAAGAAAGCAGGAGCAGAGGGAAGGAGAACCTTATCAATTAGTCATCTGGAAATGATTTTCCCTGGGAAGGACAAGAGATACAAATCAACATGGGCAGTTATGAAGAACAGGCTCAGAAGAGTTAGGATCAGTTGGGGAAGAGACCAGTACATTCTACATTCCTAAAGAAAGTTCAGGAATATCCCCTGGGAATGTGCACGGGCAGGAAAAGGAGCCTGAGCGCTGGGTTTGTGCCTGGCATGGTCTCATCCTCGCTGAGCTCTGAGTCTCTGCCTCTTCTCTGGTAACGGGGATAATCTCACTCCCTGTTGCCATAAGGACATTGCACTTACTAAACAGACAGCCATGGGCAGCGGTGCATTGTTCCCTGCAAAGTGCTCGTCAGCGATCATTTGACCACTGCTTCTTCCCATGCCGCTTCCAGATGAATCTGTGGCCTCCAGGCCAGACTCGATCTCGATCCCTCCATCCCACAGCACTGGGTGCTGACTCCACACATCGCTCTGGCTCACCGCCAGGTCTGGCCTCCCCATTTCTTCCCCAGGGGTACCCCGCTTGCTGCCAGCCATCCACCCCTGACCCCCATCTCACCTGTCCCTTCCAAGTTCTGGGCTGGCATTTTCCTTTTTCTGGCAAACAAGTAGACAAAACCCCCATAAAAACCAAAAGCCGAACTCCATCTCACAGCCAAAGGTTTTGGGGCCTCTCTTCTTCCCCCTCCCTTTCTCTCTCTCTTGTTTTTGTTTTCTTTTGTTAGGTTTATTTTATTTATTCCAAGTAAACTCTCCCAGAACAGCTGATGATGTCAGACAAATCAGGGACATTTGCTTTTTTTTTTTACCTTCACCTCAAAAACTGATGACAAGGGGAGAAGAAAGAGCCAGGGGGAGAGTGAGGCAGGGGAGTAGAACCTGCCCAGGCGCATGGCTGCAAATTCCCCATGTGCTGTTTGGCTTCTGGGGTCCTGTGTAGATGCCCCAGCCCCGCCTGCCCTCTCGGGATGCAGCTGCCCTGGGATGCAGCAGCCAGCCCTCGGCCCGACGGAGCACGACTTATTTATTACGGTCCACACAGGGACAGAGAGCCCCTGCTCCAGGGAGGAGGCTCACCGGACCCTGGGGCAGAGCTGAGCTTGGGACACCAGCGGGAACAGGGCACCCCTTCTGCACTGACTTCCAGATCATGGTTCTCCCTTCCTCCCTGAGGACACCAAATTGGATGAGAGCAAGTTTGAGAGAAGAATGAATCAACTGCTATCCTTCCCCTCACCCCTCAGCCCAGGAGGGAAAGGGCATTTTCTTTTTCATCTTTGAAAGGCATTGTGGGTCTGTCTTTAAAGTGTTTACAAAAAAAAAAAATTATATAAAAAAAAGTCTAGTGTCGACTGGTGTTTTCCCTCGTGATGTTTACAGCTTGCTGTTTGCTGCCCAGCCATAACCCACTCAGTGACAGACGAACACAGCCAAGCCCTCGCCGCCAGCCTTCTGACGGTGGGCGAGCACACAGTCTCTTCCCCTGCCCCAACTGGCCCTCTCCACCACCAACTTGTCTACTTTGGGTTTGGTTTTTTTTCTTCTGTTTTTCTGGCTTGGTTTTTTGCTCTTTTCTCCCCTTGAGACCCTAATATCTTGACTTCATTGCTAAAAAACAACCCATCGAGAACTTTCTTCCCACTGATCCCATCTCTTTTTCCCTTCTTTCCTCCTGGTTCCGGTCAGTTCAGAGGATTTAACAATCACAAGTGTCCTGCAAAAATGCCTGAACATTATTCTTAGGCCCTTGTGGATTTTTTTTTCCAGAAAACTTAAACAAAAAAAGACTTACTAAGAAATATGTACAGCTACCCCTGTTTTCAGGCACTATGTTTGAGAACATTTTAGCCATTGATGTTCACACGTGGCATCAGCCCATGCAAGATAGGTTTCTGTATTTATATATTAAAATACAAAAAAAACTTATAAAATGTTTAAAAAAATGTTCAAAGCTTGGGAGAAAAGCTTTCTTCATTAGTCAAGGTGTTTTGATATGGTATTAAAATGTCTAATAAAAGATACACTGTGTGATTTTATTTTAATGAGGTGTTGTTATACAACCAAGAAATGGGGGCAGGGGCCTGCCCCCCAATCCCTCACCTACCTCCTTAGCATTCCTTCAGGCTGCTGCTCGGGGCTCCAGGTGTGTGAATTGGTCCTCAGACAGGCCTGGGTGGAGGGAGAGTGGCAAGTCAGGCGTGCCTCCTACAAGCTTCCTAACCTCTTAAGCATCATGGAACCAGTCAGTCCTCCTCTGTGGAGTCATTGTGCCGGACCTCTGAAAAGATCTGCAGGGGCCAAGATGTTGCAGCCACTGGAGGCTGCAAGGATGTGGGTTCTTCCAGGTGTGGGCCCAGCCCCCCTCCTTCCAGCCTCTGCTCCCCATCCCACGTTCCACTCGCCCTGCCTGTTGTTCAGTTTGCATCTCAGTGCTGACTCACGGGCATGCTTCATTGAGGCCCAGGAAGAGGCCCTGGTTTGGGGCTGTGCCAGTTCAGAGCCCTTGAACCAGAACCAACTGCTCAGGCTCACAAAAGTTGGCAAAATGCAGGCTGGGCGGGCAGCTCGGGGCAGGGAGCAGCAGTGCAGGCCTGGCCTGTGTCCCCATGCCCCGCGGGCTCCCGGAGCAGCGTTCCAGAGCCTCCTGCAGAGCCAGCGAAGGAAAGCTGTGGAGGGAGACGACTCCACCGCCTCTCTGCTCTGACCCTTCTCAGGCCCGCCTGATGTCTGGACCACCCCCCTGCTGCCACAGCCCCTGGCTCCGCAGTCACCCTCCATCAGATGCTTCCAGAGGCACCTACTGTGTGCAAGGGCATTCACAACAGGCCAGTGGGCAAACGTGAGCCAGGGCCAGCGGAGAAACACTAAAGACGACTCGGTGGTTCAGAGCCTGGGCCTCAGCGCAGGACCCGTCTGGGGTGAAGACCTTGGGGCTGTTGTGAGTCGACGGCAGGAACGTGGGCTCTAGACTGTGCATTCAGGCTCTCCTACTTGGCAGAATGATCTTGGGGAAACGACTTCATCTGAACTTCAGATTTTTCACATGTGAAGTGGGGACAAAACCATGCAGCTCAGAGGTCCCTGTGGGGGCCAGGGGAGCTGCCCTGCAGGTCCTGGCACATGCACAGCAGGCTCCCCATAGCTTTGTCACCACAAAGGGCACTGTTCTATTCACAGCACCTCCTGCTTCTGCCTGGCAACTGTGTCTCCCTGTGCTATATTTAATTCCACCAGCAAAGCTGGCAAGGCAGGGCCCAGCCCTGAAGGAGATCTCCTTGCCTGAGCCCTGGATTTGGAAACGGAGGCTTCAATGTGCCCACCTTGGCGGCTTAAGCCTGCTGCTTTGGCAGTGCCACGGGTGAGCCGAGCAGCTGTGAGTTGGGTGGGGCAGGGCTGTAGCCCACGCCGGGTGCTATTCCAGGCTCCAGGGGCTGGTGCTCATCCCCACCCCCAGCGACTTCAGTCCTACCTGGCACGCTGCAGCCCTCTGCCGGCTGCGGGGTCCTCTGAATCCAGACCCAGGTTGCCTGCTTTTGGTGTGGGGGTGGGATTGGGGCTGTCTGAGCTTCCCAGGTGGAGTTCATGTTTGTGATCCTCTGTCCGGACAGCTCTCCAGAATCCTGTGTTGCCCCTGCTCTGCCTCTCTGGGATGGGAGAGAACGTGAGGGAGCCGGCGAGCAGGTTCTACCCACTCTGCTAAGGGCCTAGCACACTTTGATGAGGTTCCTAGATAAAACAAAGACCAACCATTCCTCTAACAGCCATTTAAAGGTACTGAAGTTCATGGGAAAATGTCCTCATTCTTAGGAGATAGATGCTGAATGATATAGGTGAATGTCTTCAAGAAATGTGTAGTTTAATTCCAAATGGTTCCCCCCAAAATACACAAAGCAAATAAGGCCAAAATGTTCATTGTTGAATCTGCAGTGGCTGGTATTTCAGTGAACAGTGTACTTGTTCTTTCAACTTTTCTGTATGTTTGGAATTTTTCTTAATAAAAGATTGTGGGAAATGGTCATTTGCTGAGCGCCTCCTAGTTGCCAGGCGCTGGAGGGCGCATCAAAGAAGAGTCCTATCCAGCTGCTGCAGGATTCCCACCTGGAGGAGTGGGGGGGTGGCTGGCTGGCTGGAAGGGGAGGGGCGAGAGGGCTGTCTCGGTGATGAGCACACGTGTGCTGGGGTGGTTTGGGGAGAGGGCTGAGATTTGTCACCAATCAGCCCTTGGCACGGTCTCTGCTCCCCACCAGGGCAGCACGGGACAGAAACGTCACAGAGTGGCCTCCAGGCTCAGGTCGGTGTCACCGCTGTCGGCGGGAGCCCAATGTTAGCATGGAGCGGGGGGGTTCCAAGCACTGAAGTTGGACTGAGGCGTCTCAGTGCAGCTGCCTCTGCCTAAGGCCTAGCAGCCTGCCTGAGCACTGAACAGCTGATGGGAGGAGGAGAGGGGTGGAGGCCAGGGAGGGCATGGGGTGTGGCATGCCCCTTTCCAAAAGGGACGGAAGACTAGAGGGGCGAGGAAGATGAGACAGCACTACAGGTTCCTGGGATCTGCGGGGGTGGAGGACTTAGCTTGGCTTCTGGGCTGCCAGGCCTTCCCTGACCCTAGGAGGAGGTTTGCCCAGGGCTGAGAGCTGCAGGCCCGGGGCAGAAGTGAGTCCTGAGCCGCAGCTGCGTGGAGCAGATGCCGCGTGGTATCTGAGCTTCATGATGTCGGGCGCCCTCCTGTGGGCTTAGGGAGAACAGCTGCCAACATCTCAAGACTGAGGCTCTGGCCCAAGACAGGGCCTCGGGTGGACAGACCTTGAGGGCAAAACAGCTGGTGGTACGATACATCACCCCATGAAGAGGTGGGTGCAAAAATAGTTTCATCTCTGTTTCTGAAGACGTGGCAGCTGCTGAGGAACACATTCAGTGTGTTCAGAGGCCTGGTTCAGGCCCAGTTGGAGAGTCCATCCTAAGTGACATGCCGTGGGCAGGTCCTCAGGCCTGAGGCCGACTAGCTGGGACAGGGACCTGGGTTCCTTTCCGAACCCTGAGCACCGCCCCCCTCCTCAGGCTATAACAAGTCAGAGGACAGCCCCAAAACAAAGGGGTCACTAGCCAAAGGACAGAGAACCTGGAGCGGGAGGGGAGGAAGTGCTGCCTGCTGACTTCCAGGTCGCTGCAGGTGGGTTTCAGGTTTATTCCAGATTTATTGGGGGAGGCTCCAAGGAGAAGACCTACCAGCATGGCACGGGAGCTCACGTCCCATACCAGGAAAGGAGTGCCTGTCACCAGGTGAAGGGGGAAGGGTCCTGGGACCCCAGCAGTGGGAGGCCTCAGGGGAGGAGTGTCATCAGAGTCTTGAGTGGACCCAGATGGTCTCTTCCAGCCCGGACAGGATGCGTAGGAGCAGAGAGGAAGCAGCTTTGCTGGGAACCACCCAGGGTCGTTTACTGAACCAAAGGCTCCGGGAGCCAGCCAGAAGGACGGGGAGTAGCACGGTGCTCAGGCTTCTCTCTGGGCCCTCTGACCCTGGGCCCAGATACAGTGGGCTCGCTGGCAGCAAGACTGCGTCAGCTACTGTCTATTCCCTTGCAGGGGCCGTGGCATGAAGAAAAGTTCCAGAACAGGGGCTCCGTAGTCTGGGAACTTGTGGGCTAAGTGCTCAGAGCCCCTCACAGCACTTTGCCCGGGTTCATGAGGCCTTGAGGGTCTAGCACAGCCTTGAGCTGCTGCATGGTCTTCACGCCCACGGCGCCCACCTCCTCCCGCAGCAGCTGCCGCTTGCCCAGTCCGATGCCATGCTCCCCCGTGCACGTTCCGTGGAGGGCCAGTGCCCGCCTGGGGGCAGGAAGGAGACATCCTCATGGGGCCCCCTTCCCTCTGCCCTCAGCTATTCCCCTCCCTGACTTGGCTCCTACCTGCCCAGCTGTTCTGCAAAAGCCTTGACCCTGCCCAGTTCCTCAGCGTCATCAGGGTTGACCAGCAGGATGCAGTGGAAGTTGCCGTCACCCACATGCCCGACAATGCTTCCTGGAGGCCCAGAGGACAGAACTGTTCGCCCTCCCTCTTGCCTCCTGCTGCCCCAGGCTCTGGTCAGCCCCGACACCTCCCCCCCACCTCTCCCCAGCAGCAGGGTGGGCAGAACCTGTGAGTCCCGAGGCGTTCAGATCCTCCTTGGTCTGCACCAGGATCTCCGGCAGCCGGGAGATGGGCACACACACGTCCGTGGAGTAGCCCTGGTCAGAGGGAGGCCTGTGAGTTACCCCTGCCTGCCTGGGGATACGGGGTCACCGTGGTCAAGGCTGAGGATGGGTCTGGGGGCACTGGGCTTCAGCTCTTGGCCTCACACAAGGAAATAATCCTGCTCTTCTCTAGGCCTCAGCCCTCACCTCCCCCCAGCACAACACAGGAGACAAAAATGGCCCAGGCGTGCTTGCCACACCTCCCGGGAGAGGCTGTTCCCACTCCCCTGTGGCTCCCACCGCCAAGCTTCAGGCTGCTAAGCCTTTGCACAGCTGCCTGGAGCCCAGATTCCCCTTCCCCAGGTTAGGGCAACATCCCCCTCTCTCTCATCTCTTCCTCCACGAAGCCTTCCTTCTGTTTACAACTCCCAAGAGCACTGCACCGTTCCCACGACCTGGCTCACAGGAAGAGCTTTTGAGGGCTTAGCAGACAACTGTGCTTTCCCCGTAGACAGTATCTGAACAGCTGGGTGGGGCGACCTGCAGCCCCCGGTTCTAGCACCTGCTCAGCCAGGCCCAGTCCCCTTGTTGAGGCTCAGACTGTTGCTCTGTGCAGTAGAATGGTGGGCTGAGGAAAGGGTTTGTGCGCTGAGCTGTGGGCCCCATCTGCACCCCATTCCCAGCTCACCTTGCAGCCTGGCCGCATGGCCAGGGCTGCGTACCAGGCACTGTGCCGTGCTGTCCAAAGCTGGCTGCGCTCCTCGGCCGCCTTGGCCCAGGAGAAGTCAGAGGCTCCGTTCTGCTGGACTATCTCCTCTGCAGTTGGGGGAGGGAGGCTGACACCCGGCTGCCGCTGAGGCAGCCCACCCTGCTGCCCCACTCCACCCCAGCATACCTGTGCGTTGCAGCTGCTCCTCCAGTGCCTGCTGGGAGCCATGGAACTCCAGGAAGAGTGTGGGTGCCACTGAGCAGTTCAGCTTGCTGTACCTGTTGCAGGCATCCATCATGACTTCATCCAGGAACTCTGGATCCAGGGAGAGGGCAGGCCAGGTGAGTCCTGGCCTTCCCAGAGGGCCTCTTCCAGGGAGCCCACCCTGACTGCCCCTGTCCTCAGCTCACCAATGCGGGCTACGGGCACTGCAGCCTGGAGGATGTGTACAGTGCTGTCCACAGCAGCCTGGACACTGGGGAACGCACACGTGGCGGCCACTATGGCCTCAGGGACAGGGTGCAGGCGCAGGGTGGTGGCTGTGATGAGGCCCAGCGTCCCCTCAGAGCCCACGAACAGCCCAGTGAGGTTGTAGCCGGCTGCACTCTTCCTAGGTCCCAGGGACACGCAAGGTGAGTACCAGGCTGTGTGATGAGGGATTTCTGGCCAGAAGCCCAAGCTGGAACCCAGGACACCGATCCCAGGCACTGAGGTCTGGGCTGGCCTCCCTCGGGCCCAGATTCCCTGGCCCAATTCTTTCTGCTCCACAAAGCAAATCAGCCTCAGGCAGGGAGAGCAAACCCTGTTCCCATCCACTTTGGCCCAGGTGACAGGGCTTCAGAGCCTGGGGAAGCCTAGCCTGCCAAACCAGGAGGCCGGCAGGAGGTGCCTTTCACAGCCCGGTCTCTGCAGGGCAGCCCCCTAGCAGTGCCCAGGGCCAGGGCCCCCGCAGAGGGCACTCACCGGAAATGCCGGCCTTGGCCCGCCGTGTGCAGCAGCCGCCCGTCGGGCAGCACCACCTCCAGGTTGAGCACGTTGTCCCGCATGGTGCCGTAGCGGACCGCGTTGGTGCCCGACGCCCCGGTGGCCGCCATGCCACAGAGAGAGGCGTCCGCACCTGGGTCTGGAGGGCGGCGTACAGGAGAAGGCAGCCTCAGGGACGGGAGGTCCTTTCCCTCGGGCTGGGGGAGGAAGGTCCCCTGAGCCCCAGACACAACCCTGCTCCCAAGGTGCCCTCAGGGCCCCAGGAAAGGTTCGCGAGTCCTACCCACGGGAAACCAGAGGCCGCTATCCCGCAGGTGGAGGTTGAGAGCTTTGCGGGTGACGCCCGGCTCCACCACCACAGAGAAGTCCTCCAGGTTCAGCTCCAGGATTCGGTCCATATGCGTCAGGTTAATGCAGACGCCGCCCTGGTGGGAGCGGGTGCTGAGACCACTGCATACCTGGGTCTCTGACCTGGCCACGTCCCCGGATCACAGCCCGCGGGTGTCCCCCCAGCAGCCAGACCAGACCCCCAGAAGCAGGCAGCCCGCGGGCGGGCGCAGACCCAAGGAGCTGTGTGCGGCGGGGGAGGCAGCCACAGGTGTGCCGAGGTGTGGTGGGACCAGCCCCGGGGCGGGCAGGGGAGCCACACTGTACCTGCACAGCGCAGACGCCACCCTCAAGCCCGGTGCCGGTGCCGAATGGGATAATGGGCACACCTTGGCGGTAGCACAGGGCTGCCAGCCGGCTGACCTGCTCCACGTTCTGGGGCCACACCACAGCATCGGGAGGTTCGCACCTAGAACCAGACCCTCAGTGATTTAGGGGGGCGTGGCACCCTCTGGTCCCGAGGTGTTGCAGGGCCTGAGGCTACAGCGAACGAGGGGCAGAGAACATGCCAGAGCACCCCAAAACAGGTGAGTGAGGGGGAACGCAATCCAGGACCCTCGCTCTCAGCTGGGTTGAAACCAGAAGATGGGAGGGGTCTGCCAGCCCTCCCATACCTGTGCACCGACTCATCGCTCCCGTGCTGCTCTCGGACCACCGTGGCAGTGGACACGTGGGAGCCGCCCACCACGGCCTTCAGAGCCTCTACGAAGTCCCTGCAGAGCTCGCCCTGCAGGGGAGAAACACACTGCCAGGGTCCCCCGAAAGACACCTGGGGCCACAGCCCTGCCCCAGTGTCAGCGTGGAGGGCTGGGGGCTGGAGTGAGCTTCCCCTGCCGACCCCCGGCTGACAACATCCTTGCCAGGTAGGCCCTCTTTAAACAAACCCACTCTCCAGAAATGCCTCTTTTCCAAACACAGCCATTGGGGCCAAAGTTTCCCCTCAGAAAAAAAAACGCCACCAGAATTTTTTTAATGTTTTCTTTTTTAATAAAAACAGGGTCTTACTATGTTGCCCAGGATGATTTCAAACTCCTGGGCTCAAGCGATCCACCTGCCTCGGCCTCCCAAAGCGCTGGGGTTACGGGCATGAGCCAAGGCGCCCGGCCATTCAAATACAAAACCAGAATTCACTCTCCAAAAAGGCTATCAGCAGTGTTCCTTCAATAGCCAGCCCAGCCTGAGCCACCTGAAAAGGTCCCTCACTTCCTCCTTTCTCCAGGGCCAACCAAGCACCACCCCCGCCACAGGGGACTCAGAGCTTGATAAGGGAATGACAGGGAGGAAAAGCTTCCACTGCCCCCTCCCCACTCTGCCCTGGCTGGGGCTTCTGGAGCCCTTCGTGGGGGGCTGGGGAGGGGAGCAGTTTCTTCCCATTTTACAGATGAGAAATGGAGGCCAAGTTAAGGACAGAGCCTGGCCTGGAACCTAGGTCCTTTCCTCCAGGGCCTTCTTCCACAGGTGTGTTTTATTCCAGAGCCACCCAGGGACATCCATTTGACTCCCCCAGCCCCACTCATGGTAGCAGTGGGGACTCAGCTGATCTCTACACTCACTCTACACCCACACTTGCCACAGGGTAAGCCCAGTGCCCTTTTGCCCAAGGTCAGGTCACTTGGTGCTGGGGCGTCACAGAGCCCAGGAAACTTGGGATCAGAACCCCCTGTTCCCCGCTCCCCACCTCATCCCTCCAGGGGACCTCTCTTCTCTCCCGGTACCTTTGCCTTCTGGGAGCAGTAGCCCCTCCAGGGGAACAGCCCCCAGGTTGCAGCCCGGAGCAGTCGGGCCATAGCCAGGCACCTGCCAGAGGGTGTGAGCGCTGGGTGGCAGGGTGACCAGTCAGCTACTGTGGCAGCAGCTGCGGCTGCTGTCAGCCCATTGGCTAGGCCGGGGGTGGGGCCCGCTTAAGGTGGCATGGGCTTTAAGGTGGCCCTTGCAGATCTTGCAGACATTTTCGTGGGCGCCAGGGATGACACTTCTAAAGGAGAAGTGAGGTTCACTGGACGTTTAGGGAAACTGTAAGGCAAAAATAAAATTCTAAGCCTCCCAACTGACCGAATGGACTTTCCTCTCAGCCAAGGGCATTCCAAAGTAAACCTGAAAAATTAATTCAGGCTGTGATGGGAAGCGGTTTAGGACATGCCTCATTATCCCCCTCCTCCCTTTAGAATTCAGACACAACTGAGTAGCATTAACATTAAAACAGAGATCTTAAGGCATTCGGATCTTAAGACACAAAACACTCTTTGTAGCAATAAGATACCAAATTCCAACCTGACTCTAGCATCACCTGACAGATAGCAGGCCCTGAAAGAAATTGATGTCTTTTACCCCCAAAATATATTCCTTTTATATTTTTAAAAATAGCTCCAAAAAGCTGTCTTTTGTGGGGAAAATCTAGAATCTGTAGAGAAGCCCCTCCCCCTGCCAGGAATTTTTTTTTTTTTTTTTTTTTTTGACGGAGTCTCACTCTGTCGCCCAGGCTGGAGTGCAGTGACGTGCGGCAACCTCCAGCCCCTGGGTTCAAGCAATTCTCCTGCCTCAGCCTCCCAAGTAGCTGGGATTACAGGTGCCTACCACTGTGCCCAGACAATTTTGTATTTTTAGTAGAGATGGGGTTTCACCATCTTGGCCAGGCTGGTCTTGAACTCCTGACCTCGTGATCCACCTGCCTTGGCCTCCCAAAGTGCTGGGATTACAGACATGAGCCACTGAGCGCCCAGCCTCTTTCCAGGTTTTATCCTGATCTAAGGGAGATTTAACTAAGAGTCTAGCACCTTTTAAGGCCTTAGACATTTACCATCTATGTTACATAATAAGAACCTTGGGCCGGGCGCGGTGGCTCACATCTGTAATGCCAGCACTTTCAGAGACCAAAGTGGGAGGATCACGAGATCAAGAGACAGAGACCATCTTGGCCAACATGGTGAAACCTCATCTCTACTAAAAATACAAAAATTAGCTGGGCGTGGTGGTACACGCCTGTAGTCCCAGCTACTTGGGAGGCTGAGGCAGGGGAATCGCTTGAACCCAGGAGGCGGAGGTTGCAGTGAGCCGAGATCGTGCCACAGCACTCCAGCCTGGTGACAGAGTGAGACTCCACCTCAAAAAAAAAAAGAACCTTGGTCTCCACAACTCCTTATCTTAACCCAGGGATGCTTCTTTCTATTGGATTCCAGGTTTGTCTTTTTTAAAAATTTTTAATTAAAAAATTTTTTTGTTGTATACCAAGATCCAAGTCTTTTGATGGAATAATTCTTTTTTTTTTTTGTTTTCTTTTTTTTTTGGAGGAGTCTGTCGCGGGCCTGTGTTCACCCAGGCTGGAGTGCGCCATTGGCCGATCTCAGCTCACTGCAAGCTCCGCCTCCCGGGTTCCCGCCATTCTCCTACCTCAGTCTCCGCGAGTAGCTGGGGACTACAGGCGCCCGCCACCTTTGCCGGCTTTTAGTTTTTTGTTATTTTTTAGGTAGAGACGGGGTTTCACTGTGTTAGCCAGGATGGTCTCGATCTCCTGACCTCGTGATCCGCCCGTCTCAGCCTCCCAAAGTGCTGGGATTACAGGCTTGATGGATAATAATTCTTTCAACCAATTGAAAATCAGAAAAAAAAATTTTTTTTTTTTGAGACAGAGTCTCACTCTGTTGCTCAGGCAGTGGCATGATCTCAGCTCACTACAACCTCCATCTCCTGGGTTCAAGTTGTTCTCATGCCTCAGCCTCCCAAGTAGCTGGGATTACAGGTATGCCACCATGCCCAGCTAATTTTTGTATTTTTAGTAGAGACAGGGTTTCACCATGTTGGTCCAGGCTGGTCTCGAACTCCTGACCTCAAGTGATCCACCCGCCTTGGCTCCCCAAAGTGCTGGGACTACAGGTATGAACCGTGCCCAGCGCCAATCAGAAAAGTCTTTGAATTCACCTATGATCTGTGAGCTCCTCCCTCCATCGGAAGGAACCAACACATACCTTGCTCATATTGATTAGTGTCTGATGTCTCCCTAAACTGTATAAAAGCAACTATAACTCGACTCTCTTGGATACATGTTCTCAGGACCTCCAGGGAATGTGTCACAGGTCATGATCTTCATGTTAGTGGTGGCAAATTCATACAGGTCTACAGAAACCTCAATGCTTGCCTTGTCAGAAGAAAGAATTCTACTGAAGAGTTCTGAAACGAAAATATCTTGAGCCCCCAAAATTACTAAGCTAAAGGGAAAAGTCAAGCTGGGAACTGCTTAAGGCAAAGCTGCCTCCCGTTCTTTCAAAGTCACCCCTCTGATCACTCAGCTAAATGCATATCTGACTGCCTCCTTTGGAGAGACTAATCAGAAACTCAAAAGAATGCAAACATTTGTCTCATCTCGTATCTACCTATGACCAGGAAACCCCCTCCCCGTCTTTCCAGACCCAAACAATGTTCATCAACATATGTTGATTGACGTCTCATGTCTCCCCAAAATGTATAAAACTAAACTTTGCTGGCCGGGTGCCGTGGCTCACGCCTGTAATCCTAGCACTTTGGGAGGCCTGGGTGGGCAGATCACGAGGTCAGGAAATCGACACCATCCTGGCTAACATGGTGAAACCCCGTCTCTACTAAAAATACAAAAAATTAGCCGGGCATGGTGGCGGGCACCTGTAGTCCCAGCTACTTGGTAGGCTGAGGCAAGAGAATGGCATGAACACGGGAGGCGGAGCTTGCAGTGAGGCGAGATCACACCACTGCACTCCAACCTAGGTGAAAGAGCGAGACCCCGTCTCAAAAAAAAAAAAAAACTACTGTGGTCTGACCACCTTGGGGACATATCATTGGGATCTCCTGAGGCTTTATCACAACATCAACATTGGCAAAATAAACTTTCTTTTTTTTTTTTTTTTTGAGACGGAGTCTCGCTGTGTCTCCCAGGCTGGAGTGCAGTGGGGTGATCTCGGCTCACTGCAAGCTCCGCCTCCCGGGTTCACGCCATTCTCCCGCCTCAGCCTCCCAAGTAGCTGAGACTACAGGCGCCCACAACCACGCCCGGCTAGTTTTTTGTATTTTTAGTAGAGACGGGGTTTCACCATGTTAGCCAGGATAGTCTCGATCTCCTGACCTCGTGATCCACCCGCCTCGGCCTCCCAAAGTGCTGGGATTACAGGCTTGAGCCACCGCGCCCGGCCGCAAAATAAACTTTCTAAATTAACTGAGACCTTTCTCAGATTTTGGGGGTTCATATTTTGGTAACCACGGAAGAATTCTGACTGGAGACGCCCCTATCAGTGCTTGGTACCAGCTTTAGCTATCTTTATGACTCAAACCAGTAAGACAACTTGCTGAGACCCGGAAGCACCCCCTCCAGAGAATACCTTATCTCTCAAAATCTGGTCAAGATCTAAAGTTCATTTTACAGTACAACTCCTTTTTTTTTTTTTTTTTTTTTCCATTGTTTTACTTGCTTCTAACACAAGGAAGGCAAGTTTTTCCTGCTTCCATGACGATGGAAGGCAGGTAACTCCTTTATGGTGTTTGAGCTTGCATCTAACAAGGAAGATGAGGTTTTTTCCCTGCTTCTAGGACGGTAGAGAGCAGTCTTCAGCCTGAAAGCCATCCCAAGGTAAGTAACTGAATTGGGGTTTGTCTTGGCTAAAGTTAAGATTACAACCAGCTGTTCTTAATTTCTCCTGACCACTAGAGAGCTCAGTAATCATATAAATTGTGTGATCATTTGTTTTGCTTAACTGTTGTGTTGTTGTTTTTTTGTTGTTGTTGTTCTTTCAGTCTTTTTCCCATTGGGTTTGATCAACTCTATCTGAATTTATCAAATCCAAAGGAAGTTCCAAATTATGGGGAAAGAGGCCTCTGAGGTGGCTAAATTCACACACACACACACACACACACACACACACACACAAGATGATGCAATGGGGGTGAAAAACGGCCAGCAAAAGGAAAAAAAAGAGGAAAGATTTTTTATTTTGACTACTAAGGGGCTTTACTTACGTAACAAGGCCACCTTTTTGCTAGCCAGGCCAAACTGAAAGAGCAATGGCTGTATTTCTGAAATAGCAGCAATTTGTCCTAGTGAGAGCAGCCCTCGCTCTCGGTGCCTCCTCGGCCTCAGCCCCCACTCTGGCCGTGCTTGGGGAGCCCTTTAGCCTGCCACGGCACTGTGGGAGCCCCTCTCTGAGCTGGCGGAGGCTGCAGCCGCCTGCCTCTGCTTGCCAGGAGGTGTGGAGGAAGACGCGCCGGCGGCAACACGGGCTGCGGCAGCGCCGGTGGGCCAGCGTGAGTTCCGGTGGCGCGGGCGTGGGCTCCGCGGGCCCCGCACGTGGAGCGGCTGGCCCAGGGCAGTGAGGAGCTTAGCACCCGGGCCAGCAGCTGAGGAGGTTGCGCCGGGTCCCTCAGCGCTGCCTGCCCGCATGCACCGTGCTCGAATTATCCCTGAGCCTCAGCCGCCTCCCCGCAGGGCAGGGCTCAGGACCTGCAGCCCCCCATGCCCGAACCCCTACCCCCGTCATTCTTGAAGTCAGCAAGACCAAGAACCCACCAATTCTGGACACACTAGCTGAAATATGGTAATGAGATTTTAAAAGATCTTTTTAAAGGAGCTCAATGATTAAAAGTCAGCTTAATTAAAAACTAACATCCAAGGTGAACATGCACGTGTGTGTGCACTTGTGTGTGCGTATTTAAAAGGCCTTCATGTTTTTGTTTTTCTCCAAGGATCTTGTCTTTTTTTTTTTTTGAGCAAAAGTTTTTTTCTTCTTAGTTGACTGCATTCTGTTTTCTTCATTTACTTCTGCTGCCTCTCCTTTCTCTTGCACCCTCTGCTGCATGAGGGACCTAAAATAGTTTATGATAGCTGGGGTTCCCTAAAGAAAACAGAGAAGGCGGCCGGGCGCGGTGGCTCAAGCCTGTAATCCTAGCACTTTGGGAGGCCGAGACGGGCGGATCACAAGGTCAGGAGATCGAGACCATCCTGGCGGACCTAAAATAGTTTTATTGATAGCTTGTGGGTTCCCCTAGAGAAAACAGAGAAAGGCGGGCCGGGCCGGCGGTGGTCAAGCCCTGTAATCTAGCACTTTGGCAGGCCGGAGACGGAGGCGGAATCACTTGAATGGTCAGTAGGACTGCGAGAGCAACATCCTGGGTAGACACTGGTGAAACCTGTCTTCTACTAAAAAGTTAACAAAAAAAACTAGGCCCGGGCAGAACGCGCGGGTGGCGGAGGCGCGGTGTAGTCCGCCAGCTTACTCGGGCAGGCTTGAGCAGGAGAATGGCCGGTTCAAATACCCGGGAGAGGGCCGGCAGGCTTGCAGGTGAGCCTGACGGCGATCTCCGGCCAACTTGCACTCCACGCCTCGTGGTGAAGCAGAGCGAGGACTTCCGGGTCTCCAAAACAAAATAAAAAAAAAAAAAGAAAAAAAAACGAAAACAGAGAGAGGACCAGGCTTCCGGTTTTTAAGGAAAAGTCGTTGCTTTTCCATAGCTTGCAATCCCCAAGAGTGTAATACCAAGGCATGTTCGGTTTCTCATCTCTTTAAACTGCTTACTTTTGTATTGTGTTACCTGTTTGTGTGTTAAATGTCTTTGTGCTTTTTTTTTTTTTTTTAACTGAAATAGTATTGGCAACAGCAGGTTACCATTGGGGTATTTTTTGTTTTGTTTTTCTTCGATGTTTTTGTTGTTGTATTGGTTTTTTTGAGAGTTAGAGGTCGTTACTTTTGCCTGTCACCCAGGCTGCAGCTGCAGTGGGCGGGCGCATCCTTCTCCTCACTGCAAGCTCCGACCGTTTCCAGGTTCATCTATTTTCTCCCTGGCCCTCACCTTCATGAGTAGTGGGGGATTAAGGCCGTTTGCCACCAAAACACACCCGGTAAAAAAAAAATTTTTTCGCTATTTTGAGTGGAGGGGGTGGGGAATTATGCACCGTGGTTATCGAAGGATGGTCTCAATCCCTGGACTAGTGATCCACGCCCACCTCGAGGCCTCCCAAAAAATTGGCTTGGATGAACAGGCGTGAGTCCACTATGCCGCAGCCTTACCCTGGTTTTTAAGAAGACTATGGGGTTTAGGGAATCCCAGAAATGTGTTTTCTTTTTATGTTTAAAATAAGGTTTATTAAAAGTGCACTGTAAAAGCATTGCGTGGTCTAAGCCTCAGTAATACATTTTGCCCTTTTGGGGAGAGCCCCCAGGGGACTTCAGTGTGGGCTCTGCCACGGCTCACAGATCCACTTGAAAAGATATAGGTGAGTCCCAGGCTGATGTAAATAAATATATGTCTCCTTAGCAATCCTACGATAAATTTTCTCTTTTGTTTTGTTTTTTGTTTTTTGAGTTGGAGCTCTCGCTCCTGTCAGCTCCTTAGTCTAGAGTCCAGGTGGGCCCCCGGATC